TTCAGCAGATATGCATAAGAGTTGCCATGAGAATTAAATGGTAAACTATAGTACCAATAATAGCTACCATTTAATGCAGCTTACTATGAGTCACATGCTATGCTAAATGCTTTATACATTGATAAAATTAATCCTTACAGCATTCCTATTGGGTAGGACTTATTTTGGCCCCATTTTACAGTGTGGAAGTAAACAACAGAGATGTTAAATCATCTACCTAAAACTTCACAAGACTTCAGTGGTAGGTGTGGAATTCTAACTGGTGTCCATCTGTTTGGTTATCTATTGCTGTGTAATAAACTATCCAAAACAGAGCGGCTTAAAACAACAACCATTTTATTATCTCTCATGATTTTACAGGTTGATTGGACTGAGCTGGGGGGATACTCTGCTCCACAAAATATCATCTGCAGCTGCAGCCATCTGGCAGTAGAAGTAGGGGCTGTAATGTCTGAGATGGTTCTTTACAAAGCTGGCATTCAGTGCTGACTATCTGCTGGGAGCTCTTATAGAGCTGTTGTTGACTAGAATGCCTCAGTTCTCCTCTTTGCAGTTCTGCGTGTGGTCTCACCATATGTACTGGCTTTGCTCAACATTGGAGACTAAGTTACATGACAGAGTGTTCCAAGAGGATAAGGTCCAGTGTACAAATATGTAAGATGCTTCAACTTGTATCACACTTGTTAATGTCCCATAGGCCAAGGCTAGTCACATGGACAAGCCCACAATCAATGTGGGAGAGAACAACACAAGGGCATGAATACTGGAAGGTTCTACTAAGGCCACTAAAGTAACAGCCCATGGCAACAGCTGAAACCAAAAGCAAACTTTTGCATCCTCCAAACTATCATGGCTATCAGTAATTTTCTGCTCTTCTTGGATAGCATGTTGGCCAATGCATTGTGAGAAGGACTTTGGAGTTTCAGACACAGTCAGTTAAATGTTTTTGGTAAGCTTTTACACTTTCCTTCTTCCAAATATAACATGAAATTTCAATTTCATCTAAATGGTTTTAAAAGAAATTTCAGTTTTACAAAAGAAAAATGCCTCTCAAAGAGATTATGAGTTTATAATGCCATACTATATTGTTTTATGTTATAACTCATTAGTGAATAAAATAAGGAGAAATATTAAGTTATATCTTATCATTATTCAAATAAAAGTGAATATATTACAATCTATTTCTTAGATGATATGATTAGTTTTGGATTTCTGAGAAACTTTTTTCCCAAAGGAATGGTTTTGATACCACTATTTCTGTAAAAACTGGATTTTTATTTCAGAAATTGTAATCCTTTTCTTCATTTTATATAAATTAAAATAATACAGTTCTAATGGCATTTATGTAGGTAGGTTCCATAAAGAACTTTTTATTTAAAAGTTTTCTTTAGATAAAGCATTCTATATTTGTATATGACATTTATTTACAAACAGAACTATTTTACCTTAATGACCCCAAATATTTTAACTGTTTCTCCTATTAATATTGAAATTTAGGCAGGTTCAGAAGAAGTGAATTGTTTACAGAAATTAGGAAAAAAAATATAACCCTTTACCTTGATTTATTATTTCAAGTTAAATTAGCAAATGATTTACAGGTAATAAAAAAAAATTTCAAAGCTGTTTGGTGACCAATGCAAACTCTGATAATGTCATAGACTAATATCAAGACTCCAAGGTATGATATCTGAAGATGATATCTGAACTAACTTATCCCCTAAATGGCTGTGATATTGCTATTAAGCCTTTATTTATTTATTTATTTAAGGAATTGAGACAGATATATAAAAGAAGAAAATCAGTACTTACTTTTTGTGACAACACCTTCTAAGCGAATGATATTTGGGTGGTCAAACTGACCCATGATACTTGCTTCTCTTAAAAAATCTCTTCTTTGCCGATCCATATGGCCACCTTTCAAAGTTTTGATGGCAACTGGAATCTCTCTTTTCCCTGGTGTTTTCAAACGCCCACTACAGACTTCTCCAAATTCACCTTAAAATATGAACAAAAGTAGTTAGTTGTTTAAACAGAATACTTATATTCCAGAGAAATTGAATTGTCACAAAGTATCATCATTTTGTTTTTTAAGATGATGACTCTCAAGTGTGCCATTTTTACACAGAGATCGCTTCCTTAAAAATTAAACTTGTAATGACAATATGCCTGATCAACATCATTTGTAATGAATAATGAAATGCATTTTCATATGCTGTACCACAGGAACTTCCATTGATAGATATCCCTGATCTGCTGAGAAATTAAGACAGGCAGAATGGGTGATGCTAATGCAATTCTATAGAAAAGCAATCAGTCCATAACATTTCCTGTTCCTGTTCTCAATACTGATATATGGGCCAAATGCCGGCTCTTTTCAGGGAATCCATCAGGCATATGTAGCTGATTTGATTGCACAGGCATATGTCTGGGCTTCACTGTCACTAGAAATCAATGCTAGGGTCAACTGGTATATGAACATATTGAAAAGATCACACTATAATTATAGTTAATTATAATTAACTATAATTACTTATTATAGTTGAGTTCACACAGGTTAAATTACATGTCACATGGTTTGAATACAAATACAGTAAGATTATCTACAGTTCAGCAATGGCTCCAATGGATAGATTAAAAAACAGCCAAATATTTATCATGAATTTACTACATATATATCCAGTTCTAGAGTGCTGTGGATTTCAAAGAAGAGTTGGTCTTTGTTCTTTGTAGCTTATAGTCTAGTAGGAGAATTTAGATGAAATATTGAAACACTTATTAACCTAAGAATGAATCCCTGCAAATATTGTATTATTTAAGTAAGAACAATGGGAGCTGCAAGACTTCCTGGAGGAGGTGGAACTTTTGCTGGACCTTGAATGATGGGTAGGATTCAGATATTCAACAAAAGTAGCAACATTCCAGACAGGAATATATGGAGTGAGGGAAGTGAAGACAAAGATTCAATGGTCAGAAACAGTAAAGAGAATGACATGGACGTAGGGCAGTAAGGAGACAAGGTCGACGAGAGGGGTTATTGAGGGAAGGACGGTCAGAGACTTCTCAGTGCAATGCAGTAAATTCAATAAAGCTTGAGATTTCATATTTAATTTTTCTATGGTCAATTCCCTGCGTTTACTTAAAAGCATGATGCTTGATCCCCAATTTATTCATCTATAAGTGAATATAATAATGAAAACTTTTGTAATTCTATAATGTTCCTTCCCCATAAAGATTTTGGGAAGATCAAAAGTGATAATGCATATAAAAGTGCTTATAAACTGTAAAGTACTATTTATGTGCTTTAAGTTATATAAATCTTTGGAAAGGTGAAAGAAATAAAAATTAAAATATCTTCAGTTGGTTTATTAGCTAGCAGTTCTGGCCAGTAGCTCGATGCTACGTAAGTTTAAGTGTAGAGGATCAAATTAAATTTTTGCAGCACCACAGATTATCCATATTTTCTTTGAACCAATTCATTACAGTCAACTAAATGTTGACTATTCATAAATATTAATACTATTTCGGTATAGATGTTAAGATGTTTTTCTAAATGAAAAAAAAAAAAAACTAGAAAGGAAATAAGACAAAACTTTGCTTCCTAAATTATGCGTAAACATGTCCATTAGAAATAAAAAGCAGGATGAGGGGAAGACGGCGGAAGAATAAGACGCGGAGATCACCTTTCTCCCCACAGATACAACATAAATACATCTACACGTGGTACAGCTCCTACAGAACACCTACTGAACGCTGGCAGACCTCAGACGTCCCAAAAGTCAAGAAACTCCCCAAGTACCTTGGTAGGGCAAAAGAAAAAAAGAAAAAACAGAGACAAAAGAATAGGGACAGGACCTGCACCAGTGGGAGGGAGCTGTGAAGGAGGAAAGGTTTCCACACACTAGGAAGCCCCCTTCACGGATGGAGACTGTGGAGGGCGTAGGGGCGCAAGCTTTGGGGCCGCGGAGGAGAGCGCAGCAACAGGGGTGCGGAGGGCAAAGCAGAGAGATTCCCCCACAGAGGATCAGTGCCGACCGGCACTCACCAGCCCGAGAGTTTTCTGTGCTCACCCGCCGGGGCAGGCGGGGGCTGGCAGCTGAGGCTCGGGCTTCGGTCGGAGCGCAGGGAGAGGACTGGCGGCGTGAACACAGCCTGAAGGGGTTAGTGCACCACGGCTACCCAGGAGGGAGTCCGGGAAAAGGTCTGGAGCTCCCGAAGAGGCAAGAGACTTTTTCTTGCCTCTTTGTTTCCTGGTACGCAAGGAGAGGGGATTAAGAGCGCTGCTTAAAGGAGCTTCAGAGACGGGCGTGAGTGGCGGCTAAAAGCGCGGACCCCAGAGACGGGCAGGAGACGCTAAGGCTGCTGCTGCTGCCACCAAGAAGCCTGTGTGCGAGCACAGGTCACTATCCACACCTCCTTTCCCAGGAGCTTGTGCAGCCCACCACTGCCAGGGTCCCAGGATCCAGGGACAACTTCCCCAGGAGAACGCACGGCACACCTCAGGCTGGTGCAAAGTCA